TTTTAGTTTTTTTTTTTTTTTTAGTTTTTGATTAGGAAAGGTTTAAAGTTCACCAATCAGCTTGTTAAAATTTCGCGCGCTCAGAGTATATCAAGAAAGCTTTTCCACAACACTTTGCTTGATAGAAATAATAATACTTGACATATTGTTCATTTTATTTATTTATGCACTGTTGGCTAGATTGACGAATTTCGGGATGATAATGGTAATTGTCGTATGGAAACGCGATGCGCGTCAAATTGTCAAAGCATTCGTATGAAATGTGCCATTGACAAATGACATTTTTCATGTGAAAGAATGAAAGAGAAAATTAATACAGTTGGTATGAAGTATGGTCTGCTGTATGAAAAAAAGACGAATATATTGTTTATGTTCCTTCAAATAAGCAAATAAAAATATATTTTCAAACATGTTAGTATTTTCTTCTCTTACCAACTTTATCTTTTTTATTGACATTTCATGCAGCAGACCATAAGTCACAGCTTTTTGTTGTGTGTTTAGTTGTGCATAACTTGATTTAATTTAATAGCCATGTTTTTTTAAAATACATTTCAATATTTATATATTTTTAGAAGATAAAATATTCGCAATTTTACATAAGATCACATTGAAGAACATATCTCTTATTTTCTTTTCCACAGATGTAAACCACTATTATCTTTGCCTAATAAGTTTATAACGTATTACAACTGGATAAATAGAAATTATAATTCAAGTTTGGTATGTGAATTGTCTAACAGTTATTACAAATCGCGTAGTAAATGCATGCGTATGACTGAAAGTATGATTTGGCATACTTATAATTCTCGTCTTCATGCTCATAACCGCGGAAGAAACGGCACTCTTACAAAATCCAAGAATGTTGGATTTAGCGACTCTGACATCCTTGATATTGTTTATTGCAATGATGAAATTATAAGTTGCCACCTGTGAGTATTTATTTATAAACTTTGTTTTACGTTTATTTATTTATTTTTATTTTACTCAAAAATTCTTGCAGAGATGGTAGTATTAGGCATTGGAAAATTGTATTACAGGATACAAATAAATCTCTTCGACAATTAAAAATTCATGATGATGTATATGATACCTCGGTCAAGAACATTGATGCAACAACACAATATATTATTTCAAGTTCTTTAGATTCAATAAAGGTAAAAAGAATTGCAATAATGCTATGCAGTAGGATGTAAAAAGCCCGTTTTTTAGATACAGAAAAATACACATGAAGAAGATGATTCTGCAAAAGAAAACCAAATACTTTATAGCACCGAACATAATGTGAGTGCAATTTCAATTGACCCTACAGAAACCAAATTTGCTGCTAGTACCAATTTACCAGCCATTTTGATTTATGATATTGATAAAAGGTAAGTTATATTTTAGCGAATTAATCGTTTTCTAGAAATGTTCGATTATACAGACACTTATTATATAATTCAATTTAGTAATATTTGTAATTATAACTTAAAAAGTTATGCCTAGTCAGGAGGTAAAAAAAAAAGAATTTTTGTAAATTTTTTTTTAAAAAGTATAGTTGTGTAAGGGCCACTGCACAAACTTCTCCGTAACGCGTTACGTTGCGTTAAGTACTGGTAAACTTATAGCGTTTTCGATTATATGGATTTTGATCTACTCAAGGTTGATTAATGACGACATTGCATCATCTCCACCAATAATAGACATGAATTTATAGTGAAATAGTGATTGATCAACTTGGGTCGATGAAAAACGCTATAAGTTTACGGCCAGTGCTTAACGCAACGTAACGCGTTACACAGAAGCTTGTGCAGTGACCCTTACACAACTCTCCAGTATTTGACACTGTGTCTATTTGTGTAAAACTACCATAATTACTTATAATATTTATACATGGACGTAAGAATATATGGACGGAACGATAGCGTGAAAAGTTGAAGCCAGAGAGGCAAGGGGAAAACTAGCCAATCAAGATAGCGGCTACGGATAACTGACGAGCGTGGAATTTATATATAAATATATATATATATATATATATATATAT